CCTTTATCATTGCTCATTCCTAACACCCCCGCTCTCACTGTACTTTACACCCTCGAACGATCTCTCACTCTACCCAACGCTCTCTCCCCATGACGCATTCGTCCCAAGACTTTTGACTCCACCCCCAACAATTTGACGACCAGCTTGCATCATTCCATCTCTCATTGGTACATTCGTCCCAACAGGAGACGGGCGCCCAAGACCGTCCTCCACCTTTCCCCCCCCCCCCCTTTTTGGTTCTTTTTTTCTTTACTTTGGTACTTGGTATAATTTGTATACTTTGTTAACTCTTTCTTATATAAAGGGTTAATTACCCAAGTTTGAGATACCACACGTGTCATCTACAAGAGTAAAAGCATTCTACCACACACTAGCTGGAATTGCCATAGGACAAGGACAGCTACACACCCGACCACCATCTGCAATTTAGTTTATGCCGTGAGATCACTTGTAGAAAATGAGGAGCCGAACTTGAGGTCTCGACAGATCGCTCATGGTTGTTTTACCAGTGGGCACGAGCGCATAATATAGGCACGAGGGAGAAGCTTTCAGGACGTTCAACACTAGTATACAATAGAAAAGTTCTCGGGGACTTTCCGTGGGAAAATTTTAAAAAATTTCGGGAAAAACTTTCTCCCCACCCTAATAATTAAAAATTTTCAGTCCATTTTTTCTTTCAGAAAATGAATCCAAGTTTGACAGATATGCCTGATGTTGTATTGAGACAAATTTTCACTGATGTTGGCTGTCCAGGAATGTAAGAGTTTTTTACCTTTGCTCTTTTCCTGTAGCTTTAGATTTCTGAGATTTTTCAGATTCAATCTTCGAAAAGTGTGTCCATTTTTTCGAGAATTTCTGCAAAAATTTCCAACAGACTCCAGAATTCCATTGATTAACATTACGATTTATAAAGAACTGATGATCATCAAACTAAAACCAGGAATAATGGAAACCGATGGAATTCGATACTCAAAACAGGAAACACATTGTAAAATTAGATATGGAGACTCGGGGAAAATTCTGGAAAATTGCGATTATTCTGATCGAATTTTCGAAGATTTGGAAATTATAATTGCTCATCAAAAATCAGTTCTCGAAGCACTCGAAATTTTTTGTCCGATTCCAGTTATTTGGGATACAGAATTTCCTGAAACAGTCCAGAGACTACAGAAAGTTCTTGAAAATTCTCGAAAACTCAAAGTCAAAAAATTCTATATGCATTACTCGAATTTTCCTCGTATTTCCTCACTTTTGAAACTCTTGGACGCCGAGAAAATCGAAGAAATCGCAACGTCCTCAATGATCCAGCCTTATGAAAATGATATTGGAATTGAGGATTTGGTAAAATTGGATCATTGGAAAAATGCGAAACGGATAAAAATTATTAATGTTCCAATCAACGCATCACTACAGAACTTTCTACATTTCGAAGAGGTTACGGTAGAATTTACGAGGATTTCTGCTGACGAAATGATTTTGGTAACGGAGGTAAGTCTGAAAAATGGGAAGAATGTTTCGAAAAACTACGTAAAAATGTATTAGAAAGGCCCCTCTAACACAAGGGCCTGTTCTTGTAATACAGATTCCACGGTATATCATATGAAAAGTGATCATTACTTTTCCAGAACTTACTGAAATCTACAATCGCAAGAGAATTTCGCATTGGCTACACCGGATTCGAGAACGAAATTCAATTTTTGAACTATTTGGGACCCCCTAGAACATCTGACGATGACGACGACGAAACGAACCAAAAAATATGGTACAAACGAATCGAGAATTCGTCGGAATCTCTTTTCATATTTCAATCGACGGAGCACAATAATTACTTCAATCTTTCTAGAATCCCATTATCTCGTTTTCCAGAAAATTGAATTTGATTTTCTTGTGAAATCTTTTAAATTCGAAATTTCTAAGTTATGAAAATAATAAAGGCCCCTCTAATAGAAGAGCTCTCTGAGAAAGGCTTGGAAAAATCGATGTTTCCAGTTTCTACCTTCGAAACGTTTGTCTAGATTTTTTTTCAGAATGATTCAGTAATTTTTTTTGAATAACATTTTCTTGTATGTTCAGCAAAGTGATAAGGAAATTAATATTGATAGCTTCAATATCTTGATGTCACTTTTTTTGGAATTTTTTAAAAATCCATAGATCAGAAATTCCAGAAAATGTGTTGTAAATATTAGTGTTGTCAACAAGTATGTTATCAAAAAAAATCGGAAAATAAACATTTGGAAATTCCAATCAACTACTTCTAATATAATTTGAGGTGGTACAAATAGTGAGAACTTTTCGCGTGAGAACTGCTACAAATAAGAACTGCACAATTGAAAACTCGTAAATAATGAGAACTGGAGGAATAAAAACTAGTCAAATGAGAACTCGTTTGCCGGCTTCAAATCGTAGTTCATGATCTGACTATTTTGAAAAAATAGTTTCGAAACGATCTCGTTCTTCACATACCGTAAAACCTCTAATAGAACGACACCCGGATCGTCCACTTTGAGCCTATATATCTCACTTCTTTTGAAAGATATCAAAAAGTGGTTAACTAGTAAAATGTTTATCAGGATATCAGCAGTTTATCAGGATATCAGCAACATTTACTAG